TCTCATCAGACAGCTGTAATCAATCCTTCATGGAAAAGGCCATCATGGAATTTTTCTGTTGGAGGAAATGGGAATGCAAAAATAGTCTCCTGTTCATCATTATAGATGTTTATGCACCTACGACGACTTCCAAGTTTGAGAATCCCGTAAATGCCCATTAAAGAGATGATGAACATTGTCTCATCATTTACTCATCCTCATACCATCCCAGATGTATATGACTTTCCTTTCTTCTGTGGAATGGAAATGGAGTTTCAGAGAAAAATAATGCAATGGAAATCATGGTAATCCATACGTCCCCAGTTGATAAATCAATGTCTTATGATGAGAAACAACAAAAAAATATTAAACATGTGACCTGGTAAACTTGAAAGCGATTGTTTATAGTTTTCTCAAACACACCTATTGTTTTGCTTCAGAAGACAATGATTCATCAAGTGCCCTTGGATTTAGCTGGTCATAGCTGGTGTGCAGGCTGCTTTTAAAGGGGTTTTGACCACTTCTTTAGCTGGTCAGGCAGGCAGGCAGACCAGCTAAAACCAGCTCCTTCCAGCTTAAACCAGCTAATGGAGTCGTATGGATTATTTCTTTTTATGTGGTTTTTGACACTTTAACTTTCAGGGATCCATATACTGACATTATATGGAGAATCTCCATTTGTGTTCCACAGAAGAAAGAAAGTCACATACATCTGGGTGGAGTCACATACATGTTTGGGTGGAGTATCCCTTTAAGGCCTGTGAAAATGAGTGAAAAATGAGGTAGCTAAATCGCAGATGAATGGTCTTTTCACATCAGAGTGGAACGAATATGCATCAGGTTGAAGGAAGCACAAAATTCCTGCTCGTACAATAGAGGGTGCAACACGAACCTTTAACCTATGACATCAGTGCGGGACAGAACCTTACGAGAGCGGAAAATCCTCATTGCCTTCTACCTGCTGGATTTTGTGGATAAAATGTCAAAGCTGTGGGAGCCAGCGTGAGCGGAGCGGACCTGGAATAATGTACTAATAAATGTAATGTACCCATCCAAACTCTACTGTGGAGTACAAGTCATCAATACTGTTTTCTGTGCCACCAAGTGCTCTGATATATGAACCAAAACTCAAATATTTTTTGATGGTCTAACTCCAAAAAACTGACAAGCTCACCGTACAAAGTAACTTTGCTTTTTCAGTAGGCAAATGTTCATACAGCATACCCATATTTGTGTTTCATGTATTACTATTGTGCTTTGTATATTCTGTCATTAAAAAGCGCATCTGGCTCCAACAATTTGTTTGGACAATCTAGACGTAGATTTTTGTAATGGTGCTCTTCACGCGTTCCTCAAAATAAATAGACCGGAATAACAGATTTAGAAAAGACAAAGAGAAGATTAAATGAGTTAGAATGTCAAATTAGACACACTAAGGTCCATTTGTTCTTCATTTAGCCCAATATATTTTTGTCAGTCTTGATTTGAACACACCTTTCACGTGCATTTTCATTTCACATTTGATATGAAGGCTCAGCACTGAAAAAACAACAAAAATAAGACTGGCTCGCTAACATTATTATACAGATTTCATTATCAAACGAATTTGTGTGAAGTGACAGGAGATGATTTCTAGCTAGAAATGGAATATAAACAGAAATCTTGTCGTATATATTGACAAGTTTGACACATTGGGAAAAGCTCAGTCCTCCATTATGGTTCGAGCCGCTTTTTTATAGCACGCTTCTCATTTCACACTGATTCCCTTATAAATCAAACGTGCTTCAAATCCGTCTGTGCCCTCATGGAATTCTGAGAATTGTAAAGGAGGATTGTTACGAAAGATTTAACACTCTCTGTTCCTCGACTCGCAGTAGCATTTCAGGGTGTTGTTACAGCAGTTAAAGAGCACAACAGTGTCCCTGGTACTCTTTTAAAAGCTGGAAATTGTGCTAACATGTAATTACCCAAAGTACAACTCACAGTTGAGGCTTAATACGCAGCTCATAAAGTCTGGTAATGAGATTTAATGGCTCCCATAGACGCATCTCGCGTCATCAGTTTGGAATGGTTTTAAATTCTACAGATGCTTTGCGGGCAGGTATTGCTGTGGGGCTTCGCTGCGTTCCCTGTGAATATTAATGCAAGCAACTCATTTTATCTCTGCACTCAGAGATCAGGCTTAGAGATTTCATTCCCACTAAAGAGACACTATTTACATTTTCTTTCGAAGAAAAATATTTTACTGCAACATTGAGAACTGAAATATAACAGTTTAATATTGAGCAATCAGAGAAGAAATATTTTATATTTAACATTAAATTACCTGAGGTTTAATGGCAACAAACAAGTGCTTTGTGTATGTTCAGCACAAGCTCACTGATGTAAAGCTATGCTACTGTGAACAGGAACGTCTAATTATACTTTCATTAACACAGCAGATGTCCTAGTTTAAGCTCTGGTTTTATAACCACAGTAGTGACGGAAATTAACATTCCCATTAAGGGACGATATTTGCCCCCTTAAATTGATTTCCAGGGGCATTTTTTACCTTTATAATGGCTTTTTATAACCTTATTAAATGTATCCGTCATCTGTCAAATCTTTACATTTTATTTAATTCAATTAGAATAATAAAACACTATAGGGCTGCTACCAATCAAATAAAATCAGCATCTTTGCACTGCATCTAAAGGGGCATTTAGGGGCATTTACAGAAGCTCTCTAATGCAGCTCTGAGGTGGCATAAATAAACATTAACAGGACCTCAGGGATCATCATAAAATAAAAAAAGCAATTCAAGTCAAGGTGACTCACTATCTTCATGGGTGAGTCATTGAATCCTTCACCTGATTTATTCAAAATCTGATTGTTTACATTCAAATTTATATTTAAACTAAAATCTAACTTTATTCATTAATCAGATTTACATTTAGTAAATTAAGATTTGTAAAATTATTATTATTTTTAGATCAACTTTCTAACGCTTTCTAAAAGAAATTGTGGAACAAATAAACATGGGTATCAATATTTTTGGCAGCGACTGCAAGTATCACATCTGAGTCTGTGGTTCAGATTTTGTGTTGTCATGGTCTCTGTCACTTTCAGACCCTCCACAGCTCAAGGGCTCTTTGTTTTGACCAAGGGTGATTTGCCAGAGGTCCCAGCACAACACTATTAATGTAGCAACAAGGTACAACCACTCCACAACCAAAAACGGGATATAGCAGCTGGACAAGTGTTTAAAGACTTGATGTAAACCTGCAAGAATGAATGAAGCAAGCCTGGAATTTCCTGTGAAATTCGACCCAGTAGCTCAAAATTTAAATCAATACTGCAGACTTAACTTAGTAAATTAAAGTATGGCAAAAACAACCAAACTCAACAAAACCACTGGCTTCTCAATGGCAATTCAAAACCATCCCAAATTTGCTGCACTGCCCTGATCACCCACTAACGCCAATTATGATAATTCAGATGTTAATTACATTTACATGTGACTGCCAGAGTGAAAATAGGCTGAACGCATGCATTCCCTGTCATGCATGGTGGGCCAGTTAAAATTTGGTGCGTCGACTTAATTGTAGCTTGAAGGGGGGGGGATCTTGGAATTTCAAGGCTCGACCTTTGCATGCACACGGCTGAGGACAGCAGACAGAAATGGAAACAATCAGACCTAGTCAAAAGGGGAGGTGCTGCTAAAGAACAGCAGGCACCAGTGCCACCACTTACCATAGTTTTTATGGAGCCACTTTTGTGCCACAACTCTGTACACACAAGGGGATATTGTAAGCACGCAAAAGTATTTTACATACATGGGAACTCAGTTTTAAGCATTAAATTCTAACAGAAATGTTCATCAAAAAATGTGCTGATGTCAACATCTGAACACAATTCTGAGATCTCTGTGACTGCAGTACATGTGCAAGATCTCACTGGCTTTCTCTCCTCATACATACTCTGTGTGCTCAGAGCTTTCACTGCTCACATGCTCAACGGCGCATAGCTTTTGCACCAGATTTTCAACCTATGAGGGATGAGGGGGAAATATTGATGACTGGGTACATTTTTTTTAGAAACAAAGTGTCACATTTTGCAAAAAGATACACGGTTTTACAATACAATAATTCTTTACACATGGGCACGCCTTTTTGCACATAAAATACACTCTTGCATGCACAGGGTATTTGGCACAAAAATAATAACATTGTGTTTCTGTTTAATTATTCTTCTTGCTAACAGAAGAATGTTGTCTAATGGCTCACAATCACAATTAATGGCTCTTGATGACTGATCTTTTCTCCTCTGGCAAGTAATTTCTCAAGCCTTGTTGTGAGGCAATGATACATGCATTTGGCCATGCAATGACTATTGCTTTAACACATTTCTGGAGAAAGCAAAGGCAACTAGCTTAGACTATAGATTTTCTTAAGCAGGGTCAAAGCTAGGCTTAGTTAACATACTGTGCAATTAGAGGTCTACGCTTGGTAGCGCTGTCATTCCTTGAGCCTTTTTGCAGCCAATGATAACTGCATCTTTCCATGCACATGCTATGCATGTTCCTTTACCACACACCAAATGATATTGAGATTGTCTAAATGTATTGGAAATCCCATTCTCTTGGAAATTAATCAGATTCCAATTGGAACAAGTTGAGATAATTTTCTTCTAGGCTTCTCATATGCTTTTGTGACACATGCCAATTGTGAAGATCCCCCTGCAGCTCCCGGTCTGAGTTTACGGGTGAGATTTACAGGGTTACGGAAAAAATAAAGGGGAATAGGACTGCAAAGACTCATCAGCCACTCGAGTCGAGCGAATGAGAGCCTTGCTTGGCTCACTGCCATAATATGCCTTCACAAGCAGTCACTGCGACAATCACACAAAACGATAATCCCATACACTTCAGCTATTTTGATTTAGAGGACTCTCTACAGTACTCAACATTAAAACTAAATCATCCATAACAGCCTACGCTCTGCAGACAAATCAGACTCCATAAAGACCATAATGAGTCTTACCTTCATCTGGATCGGGTGGCCCAAACTCCAGATTGTATCGCAGAATGTAAAAATTATTCCACACGTATAGCTGATTATCCCTCGGGTTGTAATCCACAGCTGCGATGTACTGATACTGGTTAGGGAAGAGGATATTTACATACTCCCCTTGCCCCAGTTTGGTGTTATACACATAGTCAATTTGGCTCTTACTGGCCTCGCTTTCATTCTCCTCATAGGTGGAACGGACCACGTGAAGTATGCCGCACACCATGAAGGCATTGGAGGCCGAGCGTTTGTCGTAGACGGTCTCCCAAGTGACCTCAAAGCGCAGAGTATAAGGATTGAGCTGGCTGAGAACGATACGTCCGTTATTCTGTTCTGTAGCGTAGATAACCCACAGTCCCCGTTCGTCAACTGCCAAGTCAATGTCCGTTTTCCCGCCCCAGCGATACGGCGAGGTGTCGTGGTAGTTGGCATTTGCGACTATGGCCTCCCCGCTCTTTATCCGAGTCCGCAAGTCAAACTTGACAATATTTCGCGTGCGTTCCTTGTTGAAGAAGATGGCCCCGTCGTATGCCACAAATCCGGTTCCGTCAACACGGTGTGGAAGTTTGTAGGTAGTCGTCTGTCGGCCGCTTCGCAAGTCATCGAGTGAGGCATACTCTATGAGCGTGTCAGTGCGGTACGGAGTCCACGGCATGAAGTAGATCTTGTCCCCCGCCTGCAGGGGGTCTTTGCACCAAGCTCCGGATTGCTGTTCCGCCTCAAAGACAAAGGCTGGATCTCCTACCGCTTTCAGAGTCCCAGGGCAAATAAAAACTGGGAAGAAAGTTCAAGAACTAGAGTTAGAAAACGAACCAGGAATGCACTCTACAATGCACTCCAATACCTACTATGCATACTTTAGGTCCAATTATTTGGGTGTGTTTAAGTAAAACATGGCTTTCAGAAGCTAATGTACCACATTTTCACTTTGGCAGTGTGATAACTGGTGTTGCGTGCATAGTCGAAAGAAAACGAGAGGTTAAGTGAGACTCTGTTTTGAGGTGGCCTTGCTCCCTTGAGATGGTTTTCAAACAAGCGTAACTGAGAGGAACAGACAAGAGGGAAAAAAGAGGACGGCAAAAAAAGTCCTGTAAATGAAAAAAGATGAGAGAAACAATGCTAATGGACAGATAACATTCATTTTGGAATATCTACGTTCACGGTTCTTTTACGTCGACAGTATGGGGAGGGTTTGTCAGATTGGTCGCAAAAGCCATACCTTTGAAAGTAAACACACATACATGGATTATGTCTGAGGAAAGAACCAACGACACATGAGAGGTGGGAGGAAAGGACACGGAGGTCGAGGGAACAGGATGGCAATGCTGTTCAGGACAGATAGGATGAGAGCCAAAGAGAAGAGTCTTCGCTCATGTCACTGAGGAACGAATACGAGAGCGAGGCCTTTGCCAAACGCGCCCGTCTTTGGTTGGTGTTGAACCAGTTGGAAATGCAAAGTCTGTGGTGAACAGCATATCACATGCAGATGGCTACAGACAGTCGGCCTCTCTCTCCCATCAATATCATTGAAGGAAAAAGCCAAATAAAATTCAACCAAAGTTCATTGTACATGAACCAACTGTGTCAAAGAGCTTATCTTACTTTAACGTGAAGCGTACGATTGTTCTGCTACTAGTAGCATTGAATAAAATGGCATAAAAAATGTTTCCAAACAGGTTTTCAAGCTGTTTTTTCCTGTCTTAAAAACAAAAAGGTCCCACTTTAGTCTCATCATTGGCTGAATCAAAGTTGGGTTGGACTAGACACTTAAAGGTAATTTGTTGTTAACCCCACAGTGTTTGCACTTTGCAGGGGATCAACTGAAAGACAGCTTACTTACAACTGGCTCTGCACATTAAACTGGGAAATTAGAAAGTATTTCATCATAAAAATTGCACGCATGACCTTGGGAAATGGACAATAATATACAATATAAGGCATTGAAGATTTCTGTTTAATATCCATGTGTGAAGTGTAACATTTTAACCTCCAACCTAACATTTTCTGGGCTTGGGTTCGATAGATCTCCATCTTGATATCATGTAGGAGAAATAACGTTTGGGGTCTGTAAGATTTTATGTCTCACCAAGGCTGCATGTTTTTGATAAAAAATGCAGTAAAACAGTAATATAACTTTTCTATGTGAGTATGTAGTAAAATGTAATTTATTTCTGTGATGCGCAGCTGTATTTTCAGCATCATTACTCCAGTCTTCAGTGTCACATGATCTTCAGAAATCATTCTAATATGCTGATTTGCTGCTCAAGAAACATTTCTCATTATTATCAATGTTGAAAACAGTTGTGCTGCACAATAGTTTTGTAGAAACTGATAAATTTTTATCACAGGATACTCTGTTGAATAGAAATTCCAAAAGAGCAGCATTTGTTATTATTTATTTATTTTTAGAGATATTTTTATGGGCCTTTTATGCATTTTTTATAGATAGGACAGTAGAGAGAGATGACAGGAAAGCACTGGGAGGAGAGAGGGAGTGGGATCAGCAAAAGACCTCGAGACAGGAATCGAACTCGGGTCGCCGTGAGCGCAGTTGCGCTGTAGGTCGACACACTAACCACGAGGCTATTGGCACCGACAAAAGAGCAGCATTTAACATCATAAATGCATTTACTGTCAGTTTTGATCAATTTAATGCATCCTTGTTGAATGAAAGTATTTTACATTTAGTAGACGCTTTTATCCTAAGCACTTTTATTTTCCGCCACAAAGTGGTAAAGTTTAAAAAAATGGTCACACTTTAGTTTGGAGACCAATTCGCATTATTAACAAACTATTAACTTTGACTTTTGCCTCAATAAACTCTTAATTTGCTGCTTATTAATAGTTAGTAAGGTAGTTGTTAGGTATGGGGTGGATTAAGGATCTAGAATATGGTTATGCATAAGGCATTAATATGTGCTTTATAAGTACTAATAAACAGCCAATATGCTAGTAGTATGCAAGCTAATAAGCAACTAGTTAATAGTGAGAATTGGTTCCTAACTTAAAATGCTACTGAAAAAGTTAATGTAATTACTAAAAAAAATTAAATAAATACAGAGAGAAAGAAATATTTGATTTTCAAAAGACATATCAGTCTCAGCCAAAATCACAGCCAAAATTTTTGGTCACCACAAACAGGACATGGTCCTCTGACATCCATCTGAAAAAAAACTAGAGGCTTTCAATAGAGAGACAAACACAAGAAACAAAGCATCTGTAGAAAAGACAGAATATTTTATTTCTCAAGGACACAACGGCCATCAGCTGCAAAACGGGACAAAGAATTAGAAATCCAAAAGCTGAGCTGAAGATATTAAACACAGAGTAAACACCTTTCCATTTAATCACTGACGGAGAAACAACGGCACGAAGCTAAACGCTGAAACGGACAATGGCTCGGTTCCAAATCCTAATGAGCTGCTTACTGTATAGAGTATTTATATTCATTTTATATATATATATATATATATATATATATACACATATACAGTGGGTACCACTGTATATATATATATATATATATATATATATATATATATATATATATATATATATATACATACACACACAAACATATACTGTACATAAATAAATGTATTAGTCTGTATTACACCGCAAATAAGTGTACTCTTGGGTTTGTGTTTTGTATTTTTGCACTTATTAGGTTATTGTGTGATTTTCTTGGTAACATGAATTGTGACTGTTGATAGAGTTGCTGCGCATGAAGAGAGTCTGAAATCACTTAGGATGTGTGTTTTCATTTACGATGCTTCCTAAGAAGAGCAGCTCACTATGTTTTGGAACAGAGCTATTATATAAGGATAAAAGCTGTTAGTAAGCTTACTATGTATGTTTGAAGCGGTATATTACGTGTGGGGTGCTATTACTTATTCAACATCAAAACATGGGTCAAAGACGAAAAGGGGGTTTCAACATCAAAACAATAAAAGTTTAATATAGCATTATTTGTATTCATTTATTTATTTATTTTTAATAGACTATCACACATTTTTACCATGATTTACACTGCAAAAAATTGTGTCTGCATATTTACTGAATCGTCAGAGGACAGTGCAGCCCTAAAAATACTAATTGATTGCAATTTTAAATCTTTACCAATCTTTGCCACTTACCTTCAAACCACTAGGTTTGTATATAAAATATAATCAAATTTAGTAGGATCACTTTTTCTTGTATATATTTTATTAAGTACAGATCAGAATAAATATGTTGTTTTATTTTTACATAAATATATCTGTTATGAATGACAATGGAACATTATTTCACCCACATATTGACATTTTATTTATAAAAGTTATTTAAAACATTAAAGCAGACACTTTACTTGCGTTTAATATGCTTTTCTGTATATAAAATCACTTTTGTAAACTTAATTTGATGCGGACACCAAAATGGGACGTATCATCTTTGACCCACATACAGATGAAGTTTTAGGGTTGTTTTATTTATTATTATTTAAAAAAAAATAACTTAAATGTTATATGCCATACCAAATTCCATAATATTACATTTCAGCATTTTACTGTTCTACAATTACTTTGCAAAAAATTACAGTAAAATAAACGAGATAAAATTGTTATTATTATTTTTTGGTATGAGCCATATTTCAGAATATTTGTAAGATCACTTACTGTATGGCACACATTCATACTGGACCTCAAGATACTTGTATGTCCCAGGACACGGATCTGGAAAGACGTCCGAGCCAGTGATGACAACACACTGCGTCCGATTGTTACACCTGAAACACCGAACAACATTCAATGAAATCAATTAATGCACAAAACTCCTCAGAGAAGTGTTCACTTAAAGGGACAGTTACCCGAAAATGAAAATTCAGTCATCATTTACTGTTTTGAAGATATTTTAAAGAATGCTGGTAACCAAACAATTTCTGGTTCCCACTTCATTGGGATTTTTTTTCATACCATGGAAGTCAATCGGGACCTACGACTCTTTGCATACACATATTCTTCAAAATATCTTCTTCAACACAGTTTTAACTTCACATTAGCACCTTACATGACTCCCCCACACCTCTAGATTAGTTATGTGTCCATCGAGCTTATGAATATTTGCTTCTGCATGAAGAAGTCTTGTATCATTTTTGTTAATTGCACCTTCCTTGCATCATGTTCTGCATGCACTGAAGTGCAGCTGTGTTAATGCATGCTTACACATCCTCATGTTAACCACAAGATACTTTAGCTTTAGGCTATCCAGGGGGAAAATATTTATTAATTAAGAAAAAAAATCATTAATTCTAACTCAAGGCCAACTGCAAGTAATTCTGACGCGGAATATAAAACAGAAAAGTAAAAAAAGGGCAGAAAACCCTAAAGGACTTTCAAATTCTCTTCCAGAAAACTTCCAGTTTTTGGGCTTTTCACACTGTTTAACCTTGGGTTATTGTCTCTTTAAACCCTGATAGCTCCGGAACAGGGTTAGCACCAGGGTTGCCAAGTCTGTGGTTTTACCGTGGAATTGGGTGACTTTTAAACGGTTGCTGCTGGCTGTATCTTTTCTCCCCTGCGGGTTAAAAGTTTAACATATTGCATAAACTGTATTTGACTGAAATGCTTGTATTGAAATCTTTTACCCATTTTAAATTTTACCAATGCTAAAACTGTGCTGGATCATGAGTTTTGTGATCATCAGGATGGAATGAGAGGTAGAGTTGAGTGTCATCAGCATAGCAGTGCTATGAAAAAACATGTTTCTGAATGACAGAACCTAGTGATGCCATGTAGACAGAGAAGAGAAGTGGTCCAAGAACTGAGCCCTGAGGCACCCCAGTAGTTAGATGTTGTGACTTGGACACCTCACCTCTCCAAGATACCTTGAAGGACCTATCTGAGAGGTAAGACTCAAACCACTGGAGTGCGGTTCCTGAGATGCCCTTTGCCTATAGGGTTGACAGGAGGATCTGGTGGTTAACCGTATTTTTTTTAATCTGTAAGAATTTTCTATCCATCTCTTCCAGGTCAAAACAGACCCGAATGCATCATGATGGTTAATCTTACTATTATATAGTCCAAAAAGTATGTCCAGGACAAACTGGGAGGAACAATCAGCTACAAGAGTGAGACAAGCCTGTTATTTTAACAGCTCACATATAAAATGTGAAGCCTAGAAACACTAACTGTTTCTAGGTTTGGCTAGAAACAGTTGTTGGCTGTTAACCAACAACATGGCCTACAAATATTGTTGGCTATTAAAATTGTGAAAAAGAATTTGAGAATTACATGAAATGGATTTAAACAGAGCTGGGAAAACTGTACTTGGTAGGTGAATTAACTGTTATGTAGAAACCTTTAAATGACATGTATTGTGAAAAGCACTACACAAATAAATGTGAACTGAACTGAAAAAATGTGAATTGAATGCACAAAATCAAAGTAGCCACAATATCTGGTTTGCTTTAGATGCTTTAGGTTTAGACAGTCATCAGTCTGTGTGTGAGTTCACACATTTACTCAGACAAGAGAGCCTTCAGAGAGCCACTAATATAAAGAGCAGATATTTACTCAGGACCGCAGGTACACTGTAAGGCTCTGCCATTTCAAGTATATGACCACCTCGTGCAAAAGAAGAAATTAAATGTCAAATTTAGGCCATCCTGAAAGCAAAAGCATATGGTTCATTTTGAGGAGTATTCCCTCAAATTCCAAACTAACAGTGACAGAATGGAATATGTCAAACCCTAATGAGGTTTGGACGAATTAAAGTGGACTAACGCAGGTGGTGTTTATTTATAAAAGAACTCTGGAAGAATTTGAACTTGAGTTTGCATGTTAAAACTCTAGAGATTTTCAGAAACAAGCACACGATATCTGCTGAGCGAAATTCAGTATCTACAAACGAGGAAATAGCATCCACATTTGGACTACAGGCAATGCTTGGCAAACAGTCTTTTACCTTTGAGATACGATTTTATATGCATCCGGGAGGTAGCAGTTAATGTTCTCCATCTGGAAGGGGTCTGCGTCGCATATCTTGTCGTCTGTGCGGCCGTAGTTGGCGGTTTCGATCATGATGACATCACTTCCCGGGCAGCGCAGATCGATGGGGTAACCCTCACACGACAGCTCTCTCCGCACCAGACCGAACGGCAGCGCTGCACGACTGAAGGCTGGAGGAAAGACAGGCAGATCACAGGTCAGAGGATTTCAGCTTAAATGGCCCACCAACACTGAACACACACACTCAACCTGAGGACTGATCCCTGAAATTTGACATCTTATTCACAGACGATCCTGTGGATGTATATGTGTGTGTGTGTGAACCTGGACCACAAAACCAGTCTTAAGGGTACATTTTTTGAAATTGAGATTTATACATCATCTGAAGCTGAATAAATAATCGTTCCATTGATGTATAGTTTGTTAAGATCGATTTCAGCTTAAATGGCCCACCAACACTGAACACAGAAAAACCTAAAACAGTGCATCTTTGTGAAAGACTTTGAGTGCAACCGGTTTAAAAACAGTTTCGTATTTGAACTGGCAGACACTTTTGAAAATCTTGCTTTCTGTTTTATTACAAATTAAGTTCTTAGCAATGCATATTACTAGTCAAAAATGAAGTTTTAATATATTTACAGTAGGAAATTTACAAAATATCTTCATGGAACATGATCTTTACTTAATATCCTAATGATTTTTGGCATAAAAGAAAAATCAATAATTTTGACCCATACAATGTATTGTTGGCTATTGCTACAAATATACCCCAGCGACTTAAGACTGCTTTTGTGCTCCAGGGTCACATATATGTGTTTTTAATCATGCCTTTTTTTCACTTTCTTAACCACAAAAGCATTAAATACTGGACATTACCTTCTTGCATGAAGTAATAACTTGGTTTGGTGTCATTTCTAAAATTACAGACTGCACTTTTAGCATGCATTATGTCTACAGCTCTCGGAGTAATGTCATAATATTATTCTTAAATTGCATCAGCGTGATTTCCTGAGTCCTGTATGAAGTAGATGGGTCAGCATATTTATTTTGGTGCAGCAAATTTACAATTTACCATATAAACATGTCGACGAAAATAGAGAAATGTTGTCTGATATCTATTAATGTATGTCACTAATAAATGAGACGACATTTGTGCATTTGTCCATTTTGTTTTGCATCCTCGCAAAAAGCCATCATACTATAAGATATGACTATTAAAGACTGCCATGCAAAAGCTATGGTTATGACCATATGGTTGGTCAGATTTCCCTAAGATGCAGGGAACATTGTGAAGTGTGGGAGGATAAAGTAGCTGATATTACTAACCAAAACATAAAGAGGCGTTTTCTGTTGCCGTGCAATATTTGAGATATTGTTATTCTTTACAATGAGGTTTCTGGACCACATGGTTTAAAATATGCAAGCAGAGACATGTAGTTTACATTGGGACTGTCCACTAACTGTGTGCCAAATTTCATAACTTGTTACTGTATGATTCAACGAGCGGCCACAGACTTGAGGTCAGATTTCCTATCAGCTTGCAGCAACACAAACCCTCTTTTGGAGTTAAAGGGGTCATATGATGTGATTTAAATTTTTCCTTTTTCCACTCTTTGGAGTGTTACAAGCTCTTGGTGCATAAAGAAGATCTGTATCGTTTATAATGGGTTTTAATGTTTTTGTCTCGTCGCTCCGGCCGGACACGGCCTCACAGTATGGTGAGGGGCGTAACATTTCCGTCACACGCTTGAGGTATTCGGCCAATCACAACGCACTGGATAGCTGGCCAACCACAGCACACCTCGCTTTTCAGACCGATAAGCTTTGTAAAAATCGACGCGTTTCAGAAAGGCGGGGCATAGAGGAGGAACAATAATGTACAGTATGTGGAAAATAATGTGTTTTTTGAACCTCAAACCGCATAAACACGTTTCATTACACCAAATACACAAAATAATGTTCTTTTTAGCAACATCATATGACCCCTTTAAAAATTACTGTCAGGATTTACTAAAGACCCGCAGTGAATAAATAGCAATTAAAAGGCAGTTATTTTTGCGGCTGAACGTATTGCATATGCATTTGTAGGGGTTTCCCTTTCAGAAGCAAAACTTACATAGTGCATGCATTATGACAAACACAGAAGTCATGTATCATCTAGAGACCTTCATGAAAAAATGGCTTCTGTGCTTGTTATAACACATGCACTGATGTAGCTGAATTACGTCACAGTGCATGCGTCAAAAGTCAATTGTCTGTCAATGTGCCTTCATCAACACAGCATTCATCCCATCACACGCTCTGCTTTTATACTTCAAATGCAAAGCAAACCTTGAACACCCAGCAGACACACACTGCGTTCATTTCAATTTAAGTACTCAAAGCTTTTGTTGCATATCTTTCCTCTGCATATCTTTACTCAAGTATTTGTGAGTGGAAATGAATAGAGAACATAAATCCCCGCAGTATTATTATTTATTTTATCGAGAGATTCAGACAGAAGGGTGGATATGTGGCGCTTTGCCCTCACAGACTGAGACTCTGAGGACTGAATACGCTGCTCTGGATCCACTCCAGGATTTCCATCTCTCACTCTCATCCCATCCACATTCAGCAGGCAGTGAGTTAGTGAAGCCACAATGCTCAACACTGCACAAACGGTGTAAAAACACGGTAAAGAGAAAGCAAGTAGACTTTTGCGTTTAATCTACATTATGCATGAATAGATCATTGTAATTTTTTTATCGTGCAGCCCTAATACAGGGTTTCTGCAGGTTTTATGAAGGTAAACTTCAAGACCTTCTTTAGACCAAGTACACAATTTAAGGAAAAGGATAAAAGAGACACAATACATTGATATGGTCTCTAAGTGTAAATGTCTTGTATTTGCAATGCTTCAACACTTGAAATCACAATTTTCAATAGATTGCCATTACTTTTCAATTCAATTTATACCAAAAAAATAAAATACTGAAATAACTTATACTGTACTTTTTGATCACACTGCAAAAAAAAAAGTGCTCTTCTTCTTCAGTATTTTTGTCACATTAACAAATATTTGTTCTTGTTTTAAGCATAATTTTGTTCTATTTCTCAGAAAACGAGACTTCATTTTGCTTCTCGGGTAAATGTGTCTTGATTTAAGTGGGGGGAAAATACTGAGGAAGAATTTATTTTATTTTAATATTTATTCATTTATTCATGTATTTATTTTTTATTTTTTGCAATGCATGCAACATTTAATGAAATGACTATGAATGTAAGACTTTCTGCTCTGATTTCAGATCATTTAAGGTCTCAATTTGTGAAAAAAGCAAATTAAGACTTTTTTTTTTAAAACTGCGCTGAAAATAGATCTGATCTGTTATCTGGTTACAGAAAATACCTAAAGGATTAGTTCACCCAAAAATAAAAATTAGGCTGCGTTTTACTCACCCCCGAGGCAACCTAGGTGTATGTGACTTTCTTCTTTCAGACGAATCCAGTCGGAGTTATATAAAAAATTGTCTTTGATCTTTCAAGCTGTTTAATGCCACTCAGCGGGTGTTGCATGCATCAGTCCAAAAGAAGTTAAATAAAAATCGCCCATCCATATAAAAGAAAATGTCTCACACGGCTCCGGGGGGTGAACAAAGGCCTTCTGTAGCGAATCAATGCGTTTTTGTAAGAAAAATATCCATATTCACAACATAATAATCACTTTAATGTAGCTTGCGCTCACAGTTGTACACGGAAGCAGCTCCGGGAGCATGACGTATGAGGTCAGCGCTGCGCATGTGCCGGTGAGTCTCGTGAAAACCAACGTTTCTTAACAGGATCAAAGGAAGCAAAGTTACTTGTTTACTTTAGCAAAGGAAAACAAGTCTCCTCTTGGCTTATACCGAAATCCTCTGACATTCTTCTTTACAAATCCTCATCTTGTACTTCTAATTCTTGACCATTGTTTTGTTTTGATCTCTCTGCTACGCTTCCGCGTGCGTCACTTCTGAGCGGCGCATGCGCAAAGCCGACCTCATACGTCATCCGCCCGGAACTGCTTCCGTTTACAACCGTGAGCGCAAGCTAGATTCAAGTGATTATTACGTTTTGAATATGGATATTTTTCTTACAAAAACGCATCGATTCGCTACAGGAGGCCTTTGTTCACTCCCCGGAGTCGCGTGAGACACTTTTTTTTATGGATGGGCGATTTTTATTTAACTTCTTTTGGACTGATGCATGCAACACCCGCTGAGTGCCATTAAACAGCTTTAAAGATCAAAGACAATTTTTAATATAACTCCGACTGGATTCGTCTGAAAGAAGAAAGTCATATACACCTAGGATGCCTCGGGGTTGAGTAAAACGCAGCCTAATTTTCATTTTTGGGTGAACTAACCCTTTAATATAGACATATAGACAAATGTGCTCTAATTGGGAGACTGGGTCAATAATTATTATCTGCTGAATTATTTGCTAAATTTAAACATGGAAGAAAAATTGAGTGATATTTTTTAAAATTCCTTTTTTTCCCCTAAAATTATAATTTAGCATTCCGTATTACTGATATAACTTTGAGAAGCATGTTCTATTGTACAATATATATATGTTCACTAATGCTGCAAATCCACCTATACTTTGCTTTATGAAAACTAACACATGCCCAACTGTAAATATTATAAACACTTAAACTAGAAGAACATTAAGGTATTTCAACTGGCAGTTTCGAGAGAATGTGTTGGTGTTTGTGTAAGATTTATGCATTTACGGCTATGTATTTATTTATTTTGTATCCAGTATGACATGCAGAGATAACCATAAGTAAGGCATTTCTAAGCCGGCTGACTTCAATTTTGTGGTGTTGTTGAGACATTGAGCTCAGACTCAAGCCTCAGGGTTTGTTTCGCAAAACGACCAGCCGACTGTTCAGTATCCCTGACTAATGTGATGCATTTCCGAGTGAAACGATGATACTTACTGGAAAACGATGTGGGCAAGACTTCACTGTGTCCTTTGTAGCATGCATGTGTCATTTCACTGGCAGAGAACCTGACTTTATCTTGATAATGAGCTTTTGGTGTTCTTTGGAAAGACGTGCACAGATAAACAGTGCAAAGTACACAGGCTTTCAGTTGAGCTTTCTGTTGTCATACTCTGCCGTCTCAAACAATGTTGCTCCACTCACTGGCTC